AGGGGGGGGCATTAAATTACAGGCACACGGGGCCCCGCGACACGGTCTGTCGGGTTATAAACCACACATACGTACAAACGCACTAAACACACACATACAAAAAGGAGACGAAGATATAAATTAAGAACAATACCCACCAATTTGGTCAACAGATCTACGGAGGAGATTGCACTAAAAAAAAAAAAACGGACGCGTGGAGCTGCAGCGGATCCCAATGTACAGCGATGGAGGAATGGCACCGTGTGCGGCGGGGCTGCGGCCCCGCTCCGGGTTGGGTTTTTTTGTTGTCGTTGTGTGTGAGCGTGTTTTTTTTTGTTGTTGTTGGTTTTTTCCTTTTTTTTTTTTTGGTTTTTTTTTTTCGTTTTTTTTAATTCCCGAAGACACAAAATGCTCCGATGGCTGCATGCGCGATACCACTGTCAAAGCAACGATGAGAGAAGGGAGGGTGGGGGGCTGGCGGCGGTTCCCCGCTGGTTGGGGTTTGTCCGATAGCAGCAGATGCCGTCCCGGAGGTCCTTCCAACACTCCCGGATCGGTGCCCGACGGGAACCCCGACCCGCAATCACCGCCGCGGGGTCGGCGCTGGGGGCCGCGGCCGCCCGACTGCAGGGGAAGCGGACGGGGCGGCGCGGGGCTCCAACACCGCGACCCCTCCGTCGGTCACTTCAATGGGGATCGTCGGTGCCGGGGTCACCTCGAAGGGAATCGGCGGCGGGCCGAGGAGAGCCCTCCTCCGGGCCGCCTCGGAGAGGAGAACGGATGGGGCGGCGGGAGCCCCGAATGGGGGCCGCCTCGGTGGGGATAACGGACGGGGGGAGGGGAAGCCTCCGGCGGAGTCACCTCGGGGCGGCGGCGGTCGGGGCGCTGCGGGGCTCACCGGTCGAGCCCGATGAGCAGACGGCCCTTCTCCTCCGCGCCGCTCTCCTTCTTGAGGTCGGCGAAGACCTGCGTGAAGAAGTGGGGGTCGGCGTTGACCTGCAGCATCTTGGGGCTCATGAGGTCGATGATGGAGAGGCAGCGGTCCCAGAAGGCCTCCTTACAGCTCTCCACCAGGAAGGGCTTCAGCGGGTAGGAGATCTCGTTGCCCATGTAGGAGTAGGAGAGGTACAGGCAGGTGAGCAGCACCGCCTGAAGTTCGTGGTCGCTGCCCACCTCGGCCGAGATGACGTCGCGGCACAGCATGTAGAGGAACACCACGTTGGCCGGCGTGATGAAGCCCTGGTCCTGCCAGCCCTGCAGCAGCAGCGAGCGGTCCACGGAGCGCAGCCACAGCACCGGGTCGGTGGGCGAGAGGTGCTTCAGGCGGTAGCAGCGGCGGCACAGGAACTCGCCCAGGCAGCGCAGCAGTTCGCTGGTGGACGCCTGGACCACCACGCGGCGCGGGGTGGCGGTGGCGGCGGCGGGACCCCCGGGGGGGTTCTTCTGAGCCGGGGGGAGCGCGGCGGCGGAGGAGGAGGAGGAGGAGGAGGGCGGCGGGGGCGCGAAGGTGGCGAGGTTGGCGCAGGAGAGCGATTTCTTCAGGTTCTCGTTGTTGAGGTGGGTGACGTTGCTCTGGTAACCGCCGTTGGGCTGCACCTTTTTGGAGCTTTTCTTCTTGGCCGAGACGGCGGCGATGCGCTTCCAGGGCAGCACCGAGATGAGCGAGTGCCGCTTCAGGCCCTTCTCCTTCGCGTTTTTGCTGTTCTGCACCGCCGTGTAATGCCCCACCGTGGCCGTCCCCTCCTCGAACAGCGGGGCCTTCCGGTAGCTCGGCGACAGCGACAGCACCGTGCCCATGGCGCCGGCCGCCCGCCGGGCCCCGCCGCCCGCCCCGGCCC